TTTGTTGACTGGCCTATTAATCTATTCTCAAGTATTCACACTAAATAGAAAATCTTATTTTAAGATGAGTCTTAAAATCAACACTAGTAATTATAATGGAAATTGCATTGCGTAAATTCCGAAAAGTTGTCTTAAAAATGTTTCCTCTTAAAATAAGACCTCTTTTCTGCCTTAAAATAAGACTTTCTTTTTACTGTGTTCCCAAGTATTTCTAAATATTCTCAGATATTCCTTATGTTAGGAATATATTCTTCGTACGCCCAGTTTTTTACCCCTCGGGAATATGAAATAGGTTTCGATCTTCTGATTGGTCAATGGATAACACATCAAAATAGCTAGGCGGTAGATTTGAAATATTTTCTTGAATCTCGATAGATAATTTTTTTTCAATAGGTAATACTCGTCCCAATCATCCTTGGAATAAAAATATAAGTTCCTACAATGAAACGTTGAAAAGGAATCAGGAATCAAAACCGAATAAATTGAACTTTTAAAAATAAAATAAAAATTGTGAAATTAATAAAAAATTTACAACGTCACACTTCAGGGCGCGTCACGAATACAATTTGCTAAATATTAGACTCGAAAGGTAACCGAAACATATCAGAAATGTAAATAAGGTGAAATACTGATATTTAACATTTAGCCCCAGGGTGCGTTTTTGACTTGGACAACAACTACACAAAATTTGACTAAAAATATTTAAAAAATGGTTTCAGATACTTTTTCAGCGACCCCAAATTAGCTAAAAATCCCGTGTAAAATCATATGGCAAATTGAGACACGCTTTGGTGTACGATTTCATATAGGAATTTATGATTTTGTTTTTAAATAGCAACCTATGTGAATTCCTACATTATTTCCTATAATTTTTCTGGCATATTACACAATGCGACAATATTTTAAAAAAGTTTTGTTTAAGTGACTTTCTTAATTGTTTTCCTTAAAACTATATAAAATATGAAAAAAATCCCTATTATACCTTCAAAGTACTAAGCGTTTTTTTTAATGTAAGGTCTTGTGATTTTTGCAGTTTTCAGTGTTTAATTAATCGGTTTCAGCTATTAGTTGACGAATAATAAAATTAATTAATGTAAACATAATTTTTTATTTGAATTCACACATAAAAGAAAAATTCACTTAAAAAGACATTTTAGCTTAAAAGTGAATATTTTGACTGATTTTTTTCTTTTTTTCATATCCATATATCCTCTCGCATTAAGTTCCATATATAGTCGCCCATCATAGAAGTGTCCCATGATCCCTGGTAATAAATTCGCTTGAAATATGCTACTCGGGGGGTTTAGGGTCGCTGATTACGGCAATAAAGTATAATTTTAAAAATTCCAAACTGCGGATCCAGTATGTCAACAAAAAATTTTTTTGGTAGCCATATTAGATCCGCCATTTTGAATTTTAAAAAACTGACTTCGGATTCGTAATCAGCGAGCCATAAAACCTTTAAGAGTGTCGAACGGTCTCTGAAATTCTTTGGCATTTAATAATCGCCCTATAAAAACGGCACTGAACGTGAAAATAATAAACATTGATTTTTAAATACTTTTTTCTCAAAATCGGAAAAAATACCAAGGATCCTCATCTTATAAATATCTTAAAGTCGAAAGATTGTGCAAATCTATACAAAAATGCGATTGTAAAATGAGAAGTATGAAAGTAATATAATTTTAGGTTTATTACGTCCTGCAGCCTTTAGGTGACAAAAGCATGCAGGGAGCACAATGTCGCAGCTGTCATTATATTACTTTCGTACTTTTCATTTTACAATCGCGTTTTTGTATAGATTAGCACAATCTTTCGGATTTAAGAAATTTATAAGATAATGATTGTTGGTATTTTTTCCGATTTTGAAAAATGGGTCCGCGTTTTAAGAAAAAAGTATTTTAAAATCAATTTTTATCATTTTCACGTTCAGTGCCTTTTTTATAGGGCGATTATTAAATGCCAAAGAATTTCAGAAACCGCTCGACACTCTTAAGTAGCAAATCTCCAGGGAATTTATTAGTTTTAAAAATTTTTGTTTTTAACTCTCTTCCGCTTCTAAGAGGGTGATTTCCACCTTAGAATCGAAACTTTGCCGTTTTGAAAAAATTTCTTTTCTTTCATAGTTCTATGAAATTTCCGTACTTTCATTCAGTTTGGTGAGTATCACTTGGGTTGTTTTATTTCTGAGAAACCGCTTTTCTCCATTAAAAGATATAGCGAAAAAGTTGTATAGTAATGAAAATAAAAGACTAATTCACAAACTTATTTACAGAATCTAATTAATAGATAGAAAATATAATATAAAACAAAAAAAAATCTTTTTTGTAGTATGTAGTTCTAAGACTTTGAAATAATATTTCAATAATATTTCATAAATAATATTTTAGCATATTATACTAAAATTCGTGTTTTTGAGTCTTTTAAAAGCATAAAAAAGTAAAAGGGTAGTAATATCAACAAATCCAATAAATGGTATTCATATTTGAATTAGTTTTAGTGAAAAAACAAAAAAATTAACTTAAAAATTTTTTTTTTGAAAAGAGAAAAAGTAGACAGCGTAAGTAGTAGTGTCACTCTCTTCCCCCACCACTCGGTGTCACCTAGCTGCTAGTGATATACCTTTCGTCTCGCATCTTTTTCGTCAGTCTTCTTCCGACACCTCTAGAGGTGCCCCTGTGACCAATTGGAAGTGACTCCTGGCTACCTGGTGCTCAGTAGAGGTGCGTCTCTCTAAACACCAGAGCCTTCCACACTTCCTAGAAGAAGCTGTACTTGTTCCTGTAGGCGCTCCTGCGGAACAGTAACACCCTTCGCCCTCCTTCCACCTGGTAAACCGGACTTCTTATGGGCGCTCCCGTAGGAGACTGGTGAACCAGGTTACACACAAACATGGACACTTACACAACAAGACCGTCCTCGTCGGGTAGAGGCGCTTCTCTCTCGACCGAGACGATGCTCCAGGACGATCCCCATCTCGAGGCGCTCCTCGGATGGAGGAGACTCCTTGTGAATTTACTTTCGCCCTTGCTTCGTGTCGGGCATTAATATGAGAATCGATTTCCATATCTAGCTTCTCCCCGATTACGTAATTAATCGACCTCGCGTGCACGACCCTAGTTATCGTTCGTACCGAAGACAAGGAGGTAACTTCTCGAGCGTACCCCGCGCAAATTTAAATTAGCCATCCTGACTGACATCGTCGCGAACGTTTTCATTGTTAAATATTGTTGCTTTTGATTTGCAGAATCACTCCGAGCGAGATATTTGCATTATATAGTTTCTTTTGTTCATATATATTTTATGTAATAATTCATTTTTGTATATTTCATTATTCTTTTATTTAAACAATATAATATCTTTCGAAGGTTTAAATAAAGACTCTTCAATGACTATACCTCTCCTCTACATCATAGTAAGAAATAGTTCCGAAATTAATCAAAACAGATGGCGCTTCACGCCATCTACCGAGATTTACAGTAACTAGTCAAAATAGGTACCCGGACTCCATCCGGCGAGCAAATCCTATGGCAAATAAACTCAGATCATTACAGTTTAAAAAATGGGCATGGGTAATTTTTGTGCTACAAATTCAATCTGCAATGACAAATTCCTTGAATTTATGAAATACTGCAACTTAACAAAATAAAGCAGAATCAAAAAATTTGATACAAACATCTGTAAAATTTTCTAAGAAAATATAAGATGTACAAATCCTTTGATAACACTGTCCGACAAAATTCAACTTTTTTTGACCCACAAAAAAATCCAACATTTTCGGAAATTAGGACCCAAAAAAATACCCGTGTCTGACCGTTTTGCTAGATCAAGTTGATTGTGGTTTTTAAGGGTGAAAACAACCCCTAAATGAAAAGTGACAAGATATATTTTAAAAATTATTAATATTTTATAAAACTTGGTATCTGGGGGTTTTCGGGGTCGCTTATTATGAATATGTCAGATTTTCAAAATTAAAAATGACGGATTCTATATGGCGGTCAAAATTTTTAAAAGTTATTAATTTTTATTAAATTTTGTATCTAGGGGTTTTTTGGGTCGCTGATGACGAATCTGAAGTTAAATTTTCAGAATTCAAAATGGCGGATGTAATATAAAAAATTAATAACTTTTTAAAAATTTGATCGCCATATTGGAACCGCTATTTTCAATTTTGAAAATCTGACCTCAGATTAATAATCAGCAACCCCGAAAACCCCCAGATACCAAGTTTGATAAAATATATATATCATTGCAATTCTTGTAATTAAAATATGATGTTAGAACCCAATAAAAAAAAAGAATTGGGCGTAAGCGATAAGAATTGGTGGTAACTTAAGCTGAATTCGGTTTGGCGAAAAAACCGAATTGGAACGTTACGGTGAATTATTTTTTTTCTTACCGTGAATTCTTTTTTCTTAAACATTTGAATTGACGTTTGTTTATTCGAGTTTGTATTATAAATGAATAAAATAAATGCTTCGAAGTCTAAAAAAGCCGATTTGGAATAAGAAATATATAATTTAAAAAAAAATAAATGAAAGCGAAGTGTGACAGATTCACCGACGATTTTATCAAGTGAGTAGTGTTCATATGATAAATTTACCATACGAGTAGTACTCACATGGTAAAATTGTCGGTAAATCTATCACATTTCACTTTTATTTCTTTTTAAAAAATTATATATATTTCTTATTCCAAATCGGCTTTTTTAGACTTCGAAACATTTATTCTTATTCATTTATAATGCAAACTCGAATAAACAAACGTCAATTCAAATGTTTAAGAGAAAAGAATTCACGGTAAGAAAAAAATAATTCACCGTAACGTTCCAATTCGGTTTTTTCGCCAAACCGCATTCAGCTTAAGTTACCACCAATTCTTTTCGCTTACTCCTAATTCTTTTTTTTACTGGGAAGTACGTAAAATTATAACATTGTGAATTGTGTAAGTTGGTAGTGTTAACTTACATACGGTTTGAATGATATATTATTATTTTGCAGGGAAAACTACACATATACGACTTAGAAAATCCATCAATGCCTATTTACACAGCCGATGCACATAAGGAAATCATAAACAGTATTGATGGAGTAGCGGGGAGTAAAGTTGGTTCTGGTCCACCTGAGTTGGTTACTGGATCTAGAGATGGGACAGTAAAAGTTTGGGATCCACGTCAAAATGACCGTCCAGTTACAGTAATAGAGCCAACTGATTGCGAAACTCGCCGAGACTGCTGGGCTGTAGCTTTTGGTAACTCATACAACTCTGAAGAAAGGATTGTTGTATCTGGCTATGACAACGGAGATATTAAAATGTTTGATTTAAGAAGAATGGCGCTCCAATGGGAATGTAATGTTAAAAATGGTGTATGCTGCCTTGAATTTGACAGAAACGATATTTTCATGAATAAACTCGTTGCAACGACATTAGAGTCAAAATTTTATGTGTTTGATTTGAGGACACAGCATCCAAAAAAGGGATTTTCTTATTTGTGCGAAAAGGTATATTAAAATTTTTGATTACTTTGCTCAGATAGTGCCTTCATCAAATATTTTATTTAGTAGGATTTAGATTCTTAAGTATTAGAATTTTGAAAAAAAGTAATTCTCTAGATAATCAGGTTAGTTGATTGTAACGGTATATTTAAATCAGTTGCATTTAAAATATAAGTGAACTGTTCTAGAAATATATGGAACAAGTGTAAAAAATGGTCTAGAATTTTTATATAATTGTTGTAGATTTGTAACAGAGTTTTAAAAGGCTGTTACAGATTTATTTAGAATTATACTAGAACATTATTATAACACTGTTTCAAACTTGTACTAAAAATGTTACAATTTTAGAGAATCGTTTTGTTACTAATTTGTTCTAGAACAATTACATTATCATTCCATAACAGTGTTCACTTGGAAAAATCTGAACCGTTTGTTTAACTAGCGAATCTTGAATTAATCAGGTCTTAGTCAAAGTCAGTCCGATAAAGCGTAACTAGTGGATGCAGATTTAAGATTTACTAGTTACATATACCGAATACCAATAGCAGTTAAACCGAATTAAATCTGCATTGTTCCATTCCAATTGCGGATAATTCCAAATTAATTTCGGATTAATTTCTTAGGCTGATTAGATCCAGATTGTTGTACAAAAACAATCCGATAATGATTTGCGATAGTCTGAAATTAGTCTGGAGGAAAAGATAAATCTGAGATCAGTCCGCAATATCTATGAAATCAGTCTGCAATGATCCGATTTTAGTTGCATCAAGAAACTTAATATGAAATGAGTTTGATTTTGGTTTTAATTTTTGACTTGAGTAAATTCGAATTGGTAAGACGAAAGACTCAGACGTAGTTGCTACGACTGTAGGCTGGACTCTCGCGGTAGGAGTGCCAGAGACTCAGCTAGATTTGCTCGAGTCTCTTCACTACAAACTGTGCTTTGGTCTTAATCAGATGTGTGAGGTACGGGAGGGGAAGCGACGGAGGATGCCTTTAGTTACTTTCCAGAATCAGAAAATGAATCTTTATCACCAGTTGAAGTAGTAAGACTGGTGGAGTACTGTTACCAGAAGGGTCTTTTTTAATTTTGGGTTGTAATGCCAATGCACACCATGTTATTTGTAGTAGTACGAACATTAATGAGAAAGGTTTGTAACTTCTAGATTTTTTAGTGAATTTAGACTTAGATCAGGGAAATGAGCCTACCTTTGTTTCAAAAAACAGCTGGAAGGTGTTGGATATCACTATCTGTTTGAGGTCAGTGTGGGAGAAAGTGCAGGACTGGAAAGTGTCGGATCAAAACTAACTTTCAGACTACAGACTTATAACATTCTCAGTAGACTCAGTTGTTCATGAATATAAGTGGGGTCGTAATCCTAGAAATAACAACTAGGTTTCATATCACAGAAAATTAAAAGGCATTAAAATAAGCTGCAACGCTTCTTATTTTAATCCAATTTTGCTTATTTTAATCCATTTTGGTATTAAAATAAGCAAAATTGGATTAAAATAAGAAGCGTTGCAGCTTATTTTAATGCCTTTTAATTTTCTGTGATTGCAAAGACCTTAGGGACTGCATGGAATGCTTCCTTGCTAGTTATAGTACAGAAGAAAAGGTGGATCGTGCAGCATAATTTCTGCAGGATTCAATTATTTCTGCTTTTGAGAAAAACTGTAACCCAAAATGGCTTGTAACTATCAGAAAGACCACCTGGTGGAATTGTGAGTTGGCAAGACTTAGGGGTACTTTGAGAAAGTTGCTTTATAAGGCAAAGAAAAATAGGGATCAACAAGCATGGGAATTGTACCATACAGACCATAACTCTTATCAAAAAAGAGCAATACAAGGCTCAAGCTTACGTCTGGAGGAATTTCTGTGAAATTATTCAAAAGGTACCAGAAACATCAAGACTGCATAAAATTCTAACTAGGGATGATACAGCTAAGCTATCTACAATAAAGTTACCTAACGGACGCTTTGCCCATGACAGAGCTGAATGTCTGAGGCATCTTGTGGATGTTAACTTCCCAGATTTCAGGGAATTAGAGCAGAACAATGGTGATTAAAATCCAGGTAAATCTCGACTTGGACAAGAATATTGGAAACTAGCATATGAGAACGTGACTCTTAAAAAGGTTGATTGGGCCTTAGGCTCTTTTAAACCATTCAAAATCATGAGAGCAAGTAGGTTGGTTACACTCCTGACGCATGTAAAATGACTAAGGTGGTGTTTATTCCAAGGACTAGTCGAGCTGGTTATACAACAGTCAAAGACTTCAGACCGATTAGTTTAATCTCCTTCATTCTCAAAACGTGGGAGAAACGAAATGATACATTTATCAGACATGAATGTCTGATAAATCAACCTTTGCTTCTAGGACAGTATGCCTACAGAACAGGCTGTTCTGTATAAATAAAGGGTGCCTTCCCTAAAACTCGTACTCAAGCAACATGCAATGCGCCTAGAAGATGTGGCATACCAGATCCATTGATTAGGTGGATAAGAGGTATGCTCCATAATAGAGCCCTGGAAGCAGAGTATGGAGAGTATAACGGAGTATAACGAAGTATAACGGATGAGTTATTAGTAGAACTCAATAGCCAGAGATTTTATACGCAAAGCTATGCCGATTATTTCCTTATTATTGTAAGAAGTCTCTCTTTAGAGACAATTTTAGAGCGAACAGAGATTATTTTCACTAGGAAATAAAAGATTCCCACTGTGAGGAAACCAGTATTTTATGGAAAAGAATTTCCTTTTTCCGACTCAGTTAAATATCTAGGATTAATTCTAGACAAGAAGCTGACGTAGAAGAAACACTTAGAATATCAATATAATAGGTTTTACACTACTTTTTGGATTTTCAGGAGAGCAATTGAATCATCTTGGGATCTAAAACCAGACATAGTTCAATGGCTCTATCGTATAGTTCTATTGCTAAGGTTTTTGTATGCCTCAGTTTGGTGGATTAGAAGCCAGTTGAAAACGGTGAAATTAAGCTTGAACAACTGCAGGCAATGTTGTTTAGAGTGATTGCTGGCGCGATGGCGCCAACTTTTGCGTTGGGTTTCATGCTGGCAGCAGGACCTATACACATTTTAACGGTCGAGTAGCTGCTCTCATTATGAGTAGACTTCAAGCACAGGAAGAATGGAGAGCTAGGGTGACACACAAAACTCCCAGCCTTTATACTGAAGATCTCAAAAATTAGTATGAGAAAGGACAGAATAGTCAAAAGAGTGAAATTCAAAGCACGCTTCAAGACCATTATTCCTCAAAAAAAGATTGGAAAAAAGACTGTCCACTTGAGGGTGAAGTGTGGTATATGGATGGATCCAAGATGGAAAGAGGCACAGATTCGGGCTTATACTGTAAGTCTAGTGCCACTAAAGAGGCATTATCTTTGGATAATTACACCACGGTTTGGCAGGCGAAGATCTGCGCTATAATGACTTGCGCAATTTGTCTTGAAAAAAGAAAATCAGGCAAAAGAATCAACATTTGTTTCGATAGGCGACTTTAAAAGCCTTGAGAAATACGACTATTGGATCAAAACTAGTTTGAGGTTACCGAAAGGTATTGGACGAGCTAGGTTTAAAAAATAAGCTCTCATTTATAGTAACAGAACACTCGAGAATCAGAGGAAATAAAGAAGCAGTTACCTTAGCTCGCAGAGGCTCTGAGAAGACTATGGTAGGTCCAGAACCGGTGGTAGGTATTATCCCAGGTGTGGTTAAAGGAGTCATAGAAAGATAGTGTGAGAAAAGTCATGAAAGGGAGTGAGCGAGGACTACTGTAGGTAGACAGGCCTACGTTCTGTTGGGATTAAAACTCAATAAGAACATTGCCAAGTCCCTTTTGAAACAAGATCAGAATTATATATATTCTGTAGTGAGACATCAATACTGGGGATTATGGCTTTGTAGACTGATCCAGACTGATCCATCCGAATTTAATCCAGAATCAGTCCAAAATTTTTAATTTTATTTTATTTTTTAATTTAAGGGAGATTCCTCATGAAAAGTTTGTAAATACATCAAAATTCAACATTTTTTTCTAGTTACTTTATTATATTTGAAAAAACTTTTACATAGTGAAAAGAATAACCTAAAGTGTTAAAAATTATTAATAATTTTTTTTAATTTTGTTAAGATGTAAAGGGTGTTACAGGTGACGCTACATTTTTGTAGATGAAAACTTTTAGTCTATCAACATATCACGCCTACAAACAGAACGCAAAAGGTTTTCAGAGTAATCTGGACGATTTTTAGAAACTTTGTTTTTTTCCCAAATAGTCTTAAAATCAAAGTGTACAGACTCTATTGCCTGCTCACTGGAAAATCTGTTTGTAGATATAATAGCTTACATGTTTGAATTCATTAATTCAATTAATCAAAATAATTATAATCATTTCCAAAAATAAAATGTTATTTTCTTACGTTTTAGTTTATTTTTTGAGCAGTAATCGAAAACATAATTTTTAATACCTTATTTTACAGTAATATTGTTTGTTAAATATTTTTTATAGAGTTCAAAGCTGATATGTCTCTTTATCTACTCGAGACAAAATATCTATTCTATTCTATAATCTATTCACACGAATATTTACATATTCATATTTACTGTTGTATACTGTATGTTCATCAGCTGATTACGAATTATTCATATAAATTTTCTTTCAGGCTCACAAGTCAACTGTATGGGTAGTTAGGCATTTACCTCAAAATCGAGATATATTTGCTACGTGTGGTGGAGGTGGATCTGTTTGTTTATGGAAATAGTAAGAAATTTTTTCGCATATATTTTGAATTGCATATCTTTAGCGGAGAGTGGGGCAAAGATGTTTTTCAAAATATTTTCCCTACTTTTAGTCTATTACAACTTATGCTTACAGTATAATATTATTAATATAATTAGAGCAATTCAGGTTAAAAGCAAGGAATTGATAAGGATTCAAAATTTTAATTATTTATTTATTTTTTATTTATTTTGTCCGACTCGGTAATTAGGTGATACTTCCTGTTTAATTTACTGATCAGAAAGCTCTGAGCTATGGGTACAGGTAAGAAAGAGAAATAGCATTTAAAACTAGATACTCAAATAATTACATTTATTGAATATAAATTAAATTGCAATTTATCAGAAATATTGGACTCCAGTTTTAGATCCTTTTTAAAATGAGTTTAATTAAAAGTTAGATTTGATATGTTAAATTCTGAATAAGAGTGATCCTTGGTGAACTGTCCTTGTAACTAGACCCGATGTGGATTAATCTTTTTTAAAATTTTAATTACAAAACATCATCACATTTAATTACTTTATAGTGCTCCATAAGTTTAATTTCCTTTAGTTTTACAAATTACCACATTACAACTTTTATATTCAGAAATCGTCCTTATTTGCCATTTCCTTTTCTCTAATTCAAAAAACGATGACCCAATCCAAAACAGTTGTCGTCCAATTCTTTTTTTTGCATTGGATGTAAGCCAGTTTTACCTTTGACCTACTCTCCTCTAAGTGTAGTAAAATTCTGTGTGATGTGAATTTAAATATGTTTATTAATAATGATTGTTGAATGTTTGGCAGTTTCAGGGTCCTTATTAAAAAGAATTTGAAACTAGATATTTGTTTTTCTTTAGACGTTTCGACCTGTGTTTAGGTGTTTTATCAATAAGAAATTTTGAAAGATTAGCACAGTTTTTAAAACAACCTTTCCCTATTATTTATAACATTAAACAAAAACAAACTAACAAAAGAACAATATATTTAAATATAGTTTAATCCATTTCATTCAATAGTCAAGGAATGTATCTGTCTCTTTTGATCTATGTGAAAAAGTATAATTAATTAATTAAATTAAGCATTTATTTTTCAAAGTTAAAAATAAATGATATTCTACTCAAATAAACTTATCATTAAGAATTACTTGAATAGTTATGAAAAGTACTGAATAGTTCTAGTATATTGAAGGTTATTTGGATTATGAAAACTTGATGAATTATTATATTTCCTTCTTAATTTTGCCTTAAGCTATTATCAAAAGACTCCTCCGGTAATCGAGCACAGATACAATGATTGTAAATGACGCGCTGAAGAAAAAACAAACACCTAGTTTAATATTATTTTTAATATCGGCGTCAAAGCCTCTAAACAATCATTAACTTCTTATTTCACCAAAGTCACGAATTAAAATCACATTATGTATTTATTAATTATTATATTCAACTTTAACTATGTATTTTCATTTTTAGCAACTATCCGAGTAATAGAAAACAAGTTGGTCCCGAAGGAACAGAACAAGGGGTAATGGGTACACTAAACTCTTTACAAAATTCAAATATATCGTCTCAACCAATCAGCTCTTTGGACTGGAGTCCTGATAAATTGGGCTTAGCTGTTTGCACTTCTTTTGATCAATGTATTCGAGTACTAATTACTACAAAATTAAATATATGTTAGAAATTAATATAAAGTCGCCTTTTTAGAATTTTTATTAAAAATTAAGTAGAGCAGACCGGGTAAGAAGTGAATTAAAATGAATAAACACGTATCTATTCAAACTTCATGAAAACGCGTTTAAAGTTGTGAAATATGGTAATCTCGATCAAGATCACTAACTTTTTATCACTAAACTTCATAAAGGGGAATTTTGGAAATTTTATGCGATTCGTTAAATTTTTTAATTGGTAGAACATACAGTAAGTGCTGGATCTATACTTAAACATATTTTTTTCTGAGATAAACGATGAATTCCCATCAATATCAACATACCAATCCAAGCTCGCTGTTTGATAATTCATAAGCATACTATAAATTATTTTATTTATTTAAAAATATATTATATGAAATTATATTTATATAGAAATACAAATTTGTTTCTCCAACAATTTTTTCTAAAATATCTTGACTAAAGAATAAATAAAAAAAATCAGACACTTTTATCTTTTTCCCAATTAATACTTAATACTTAAATCTACAAAATCTTTATTTTTAACATCATTTTCATGAACCTTCTGGATTAGATGGAAGTGAAAATCGCTCCACGTTTCTTCGTACTCGAGAACTAGTATTTATTTTCGAGAATAAAACTTTTTTTTATTATGTTATTATTATTTACATTGTTATAATTAATTAACAAATGAAGATTATATGTCAATTTATTGAGATAAACGATGTTTCTGCTGCTGCCCGCTACCCTTATCAAGTTTACATTTAATACATTAAACAAATATAATTTTGAAATAACACTGAGAAAAAGAATTTTGTGTTTGCAACAAAATTGTTTGGTTAGGCAGTTTTGGTTCTTGTAACCAAATTTTGGTTGGCTGAAACAAAGTCGTAGAGTTATCTCAACCAAACATTTGGTTAGGCCAACAAAATTATTTGGTTGAACATTTTTAAATTCCAACCAAAATTTGGTTACGACAACAAAATAATTTGTTAACACAACCAAATAGTTTGGTCTAAAAGACCAAGTGATCGTTTGTTGTCCTAACCAAAATTTGGTTGCGACAACCAAATAATTTGATTCGCTCTCAACTTATAGCTTAAGAGGACAGTTAGCTTAAATCTCTCACAAGGATGGGTAGTCCAGTGGTCAGAGCTCCCGACCTTCAGTTTTAAAATAGAGATTCGATCCCAGGCGGAGATGAGATTTTTCAAAGTCCACAAATATTTCAATTGGAGAAATATAAATTCAATGTTATATTGATAATAAATAAATAATGAATTAATTAAAAAAGATAAAAAGAAAAGAAATAAGGTAGAATACAATTTTTAATTTTTTTTAAAAAAAGTGTTTGTTTGATCAACCAAATATTTTTGTTATGCTAACAAAAACCTAAACTTTTGCGTTGCGTGACTGACGCGTTGATTTTAGCATTGGTTGCCAATAGCAACCGACGCAATGCATACGCAACGCAAGAGTTTAGGATCCTATTGGAGAAAGGCCTTTAACTTCTACATTCTTGTATATGAAGAACTGCAATTCAGTACACATACGTATTTTCACGTGTAGATTACAGGAAAAATATAGCGAAACCCATTGGATTTGATGGCTACAAGCTAGAAAGGACAGAAATCGGTTTTTTTCTAAAAAATTGCAAAAAATGACCCTGTTCCCCCCTTTAACTTCTACATTTTGGTATATGAAGAACGGCAATTTAGTACACATACGTATTATCACGTGTAGATTACAGAAAAAATATAGCGAGACCGATTGGATTTGATACCCCCCCCCCCTTAACATTATTTATAATTTATTTCTATGTAAAAAAGAGGTTATTCTTTTCGGTGTACACTGACAAAATTAAAGGAACTCTGCTGTCTTTGTAGAGAGAATTGTTGTCTTTTACGCGAGAGGGCAGTGTACTTCGCCACAAAGAGAGATGCTACCCTCAAGAAAGCGAACTGATACTCCTTTTAGCGAGCAACTGCTCAGTCAAAGTACAACTTTGACTGATTTTGACAAGTGCCCCTAAAAAAAGGACAACAGCTACTCGCCAAAGAGCAGCAGCTCGCCCTTATTCGAGCAACAATTAACCCTCGACAGAGAGCGTTGCTCTCTCTATTGAAGACAGCATCATCCTTTAAATTTTTTTAGTGTACGGAACCCTCGAATTAGTGCGAGTGCAACTCGCACTTGTCCGATTTTTTATTTTTTTATTATATGTGTTGTAATATACCCCCACAGCACCGAAAATTTCCTGAAAATTTCCTAAAGATTTATTTGCAAACTTCGGAAACTTTAATTGCAAAGTTTAGAGAAAATTGTATAAAGATTTAAATGTCCAAAATGAGTAAATGTTTGGCGTGAAACTTGACGGAAGATTTAAATTAAATTTTTCAGAAATTTTCGACGCGAAAATTGAGTGAAGATTTAAATTAAAGTTTCGTGAAATGTTTGGCGTAAAAGTTGACTAAAAATTTAAATTAAATATTTATTAAAAATTTATACCGAAAGTTGAGTGAAAATGTAATTTAAATATTCAGTCAATTTTTGTGACGAACATTTCCTAAAAATTTAAATTAAATTTTCAGAAAAGGTTGGACGAAAATATTTGTAAAAAATACAAAAATAATATTTAAGAAGTATTAATATTATTATTAATATTAATAATAATAATAGATAGATAGATAGATCTTTATTATTATTATTATTATTATTATTATTATCAATAAAAAAAATTTACTATCTGGGATTAAATATAAAATAAATAATATACAAACATTGTTGCTCTGCTTTGATTCACATTGAATCAAGCACTGCATGCTTGTTGAGCAAGAACTTTTGAAAACAAATTATGGGCTGCTGGGGATTGAACCTACATTCGCCGCGCGCTAGCTAAAGACCCTAACCACTACACTACAGATCTGCCATAATGGATCCGACATCTTGAATTTTGAAAATTCTCAAAATTTGATTTTAGTTTCGTAATCAGCGACCCTGAAAACCGTTGAGTAACAAGTTTCAAGCGAATCCACTCAGTAAAAGCGAGAAATTGAAAAGAATTAAAAATTTTTAATTCTTTTGAATTCCGTTTCTGACCAATTCTTTTGTATCTATCTTGGGTACTCGAAAATAATGCCAGTTAAATTCTTTTCAATTCCGTTTTAAAATTTTGTGCAGAAAAAATTTGACGGTTCGAAGATTTGAACTTTCGATTTTCATTGTTGGAGCTAAACAACTGTTCCGCGCAGCCGTATCAACTTTTTTTTTTAATAGTTTGTTTATTTGTTAGGAAAACATTGAAAATTACATAGATATAAACAATATACAAAAAGAACCTTGGTCTCTAACATATAAATATATTGATGCTTGCATGCACATAAGCTTGACCGGATCAAGTCTTTATTTATTTTTTATTTTATGGTATTAATAGTCTCTAATAATGTTTATATACATTTTAGCACTATATCACTTTATATTATGACTATTTCGAGTGAGAGAAAAAAGAAGTAAGTCACTTATAAAAACTGTCGTTGACACTCTTTCATATGGAATGGGAATAAAATATAAAAATTTGAAAATTTAACAATAAAAAAAAATTTTCCTTTTTTGAAACACATTAATTGGCGAATAAACACTTTATAAGAGAAGTCACTTTTTGGAATGATGATTTTGAAAATAGCACTATTGAATTGCTGGATGGAATATTTCGATATAGTCGTCTTTGACTAACATTTTTTTCCTTTTTGATCTCCGTCTGATGACGGCCAAATGGATGTTGTCTTCTGGTAAGCCACCAGTAATTTTTGTTTAATCTGTCTCGATTGTTAAAGTCACGGAAAGGGATGGTTTTATTTTAAACATGATTGCTAGAATTGTTAAATTCTTCGATCGTGGGTGGTAATTTTTTATTTTTTTGTGGCGAGACCTGTGGTAGATGATGGGAATATTGTTGTTGTCTTGAATATATCCAAGTTGGTCTAGTTGAATAAAACATTGTGGTGCCATGTATCCTGTTTCCATTTGCTAAGTCCAGTTACGAGGAGTAGCTGAAGATTTGTTGATGTAAGCGTTGTCTATGTTGATTACTTTTTCGTAAAATTTCCTAGTGAGTGAAATTACGAAGTTATCAATTCGAGGGATGTTTGCTGTGTTGTACAGTTCAAAATTGCTGTGATGTTTTCGATATTCGCTGTGTTGGGATCGGTACATGGATAGACATGCCCGAAGACATGTTCTTTCGAAGAATCTAAGGGATTCCATTTCTTTTTCTTTATTTAATTGAGTAATAATATGATGGTCAAATCTTATAAGTTGATCGATGTGCATACCGAGGTATTTAACTGTCGTTCTGTGTGGAATATTTGTAATTATTCCAGATTCTGGATGTTTTGCAGTGATTTGGAAGTTTTGTGAGGCTCTCATATTACTTTTTAAGCATATTGGATTCGGACATCTGAAAAGGATTGTTTCGCACTTATTTGGATTTATTCGGAGATTCCATACTTTGTAATAATTGTTGATTTTGTCAGTGAGTGATTGTAGTGTTTCTTGGATGTTATTTACTTTTTTTCCGGCGACGTATAAGTTTTTGTCGTCTGCATATGTGATGGAGTAAGTGTCGTTATTGGTGTTTAGTCCGAATCACTTGTGAGGATGTTGAATAGTATAAGCGAGTTAACTGTGCCTTGTGGCACTCCTTCAATGATGTTGAATATTCGTTGAGAGTTCGATGTTCCATTTGTGGTGGTAAATTTTCTGTTGTGTATCATATCGTCAATAAGGTGAATAAGGTATACAGGGAATTTCTTTTTGTGTAATTTGTAAATTACTCCATTCAGCCAAACTGTGTCGAACGCCTTTTCTAAGTCGATGAGAATTGCTCCGACTAGTTCCTTATTATGTAAATGATGGTTGACGTCTAATAGTAATTTATTGCAGGCATGTATTGTTGAGTGCTTTTTGCGGAATCCAAATTGGTTGTCCGGTATGATGTTGTTGGAGTTGCAGAATTTTGTGATGGAGGTGTTAATTAGAATTTCGTATGCTTTGCTGGCACTTGTAGTATTGTATTGTTGCACCATTCGGAAAGGGAGATATTTTAGAGCGATTGGTGGGATGTTGTCAATTCCGAATGAGGTTTTCCTTGGTAAATATTTAAATATTTTTGCAAGTTTGTCTGTTGTTATGAAGTAATTGTCCTTTAGATCCTCAGATGTGGGATTGAGTGCTGGATTTTCTTCAGAAAATGTGACAATTGTTTCTTCGTTGTTTCGTATGTTTTCGCGTTCAGTGTGAATTAGTTCTGTTGTTCTGCAGCCGTATCAACTGAACTGTACTGCCGTGCAAACAGTGGCGAAACTACGAATTTAGGGCCTTCCGCAGAAAGTCCGCTGGGCCCTCTTACCCGGCAGAAATTCATTGTACAAGGATTTTCAACAGGGTGAAAATACCATTTTTGATATTGAGCTTCCTTTAATAGGAG